TGTGTGTGTGTGAGTGTGAGTGTTCGAGAGTCTGTGTGTGTTTGAGTGTGTGTGTGTGTGTGTGTTTGCATGTGAGTGTGTGATTGTGAGTGTGTGTGGGAGTGTGTGTGTGAGTGTGAGGGTGTGTGTGTCTGTGTGAGAGTGTGAGTGTGAGAGTGTGAGTGTGTGTGTTCAAGAGTCTGTGTGTGTTTGAGTGTGTGTGTGTTTGAGTGTGAGTGTGTGTGTGAGTGTGAGTGTGTGTGTGTTCGAGAGTCTGTTTGTGTTTGAGTGTGTGTGTGTTTGAGTGTGAGTGTGTGTGTGTGTGTGTGTGTGGGTGTTCGAGAGTCTGTGTGTGTTTGAGTGTGTGAGTGTGAGTGTGAGTGTGTGAGTGTGAGAGTGTGAGTGTGTGTGTTCAAGAGTCTGTGTGTGTTTGAGTGTGTGTGTGCGTGTGTTTGAGTGTGAGTGTGTGTGTGTGTGTGTGTGAGAGAGAGAGAGAGAGACAGTGTGTGTGTGTGTGTGTGTGTGTTTGAGTGTGAGTGTGAGTGTGAGTGTGTGTGTGAGTGTGTGTTTGAGAGTCTGTGTGTGCTCGTTTTTGTGACAAATGAGGACATACATTTGTATGAGAGTCTGTGTGTGTTTGAGTGTGTGTGTGTGTGTTTGTGTGTGTGTGTGTGAGAGAGATAGAGAGTGTGTTCTTGTTTATGCTACATTGTGAGAACCAAATGTCCCTACACACACACACACACACACACCTCACACTCAAACACACACAGACTCTCAAACACTCACACACACATAAACACACACACACACACACTCACTCTCTCTCTCTCTCTCTCTCTCTCTCACACACACACACACACTCACATACTCACACTCAAACACACACAGACTCTCGAACACTCACACTCACACTCACACACACCTCACACTCACACTCAATTTTTAGTGCATTGAAATAAAGTATACTACCGCAAAAATATACAGAGGAGTTATATTAGTATATTTCTTAAAAGTGTGCTTTGAATGATTTAAAAATTAGTTCATTGTTAGTACAATTTTATATAGTTATCCTAAGTTTAAATTTGAATTAATTTGATTTAAAATATATTAGTAATGTAATAGTTATAAGTAAAATTTTCCAACTGTACCACTTAAGTACACTTAATATCAATACACTAATTAGCACTAACACTTAAACTGATTTTAAGTGTAGTCAGTGTTTTATAATTGCATTGCTTAAAAGTGTGCTACGATCAAATTTTAGTGGATTTTTATATATAGTATCACTAAGTTCTATTTGGATTTTCATGACAAATACAGTAGAAATGTATTACTAATGTAAAACCCTATAGGTTACTGTGCTTAGGCTGCTATAAATGCACTAATAGCACATGATTGGATTATTAATTTATATGTGTTTAGACGCGTACCAAACTTCACAATTTAACAGTAAGTATACTTTCAGCATAAAGTACTTGAAGTGCTATATTTTTACTGTAGAAGAAAGTGCTACTAACGACATAGTAATAGTGTACTTGACTGTACTATTTAAAGACACCATAAACGTAGTTAAGTATCATAGGGAACGTTGACATAATTACAATACATTTGAAATTAATTATTTAATCTATAAAACACATGGGCAATACATTATAAATACATTTTGTATATATTCATTATATATGAATCGTATATTTTAAATAATTAATAAGCATATTTTCTGTGTATGATGAGTATATTTAAAAGTGTATGAAAGATGGTTTCTTGTACTACAAGTGTACTAAATACTTTTTGTTTTACAGAGAAAGTGTGTTAAAATCACATATGTGACCCTGGAGCACAAAACCAGTCATAAGGGTCAATTTTTTTAAATTGAGATTTATGCATCATATTTGGCTGAGATACAACTATTTGAAAATCTGGAATCTGAGGGTGAAAAAAAATCTAAATATTGAGAAAATCATCTTTAAAGTTGTCCAAATGAAGTTCTTAGCAATGCATATTACTAATCAAAAATTAAGTTTTGATATATTTACGGTAGGAAATTTACAAAATATCTTCATGGAACATGATCTTTACTTAATATCTTAATGATTTTTGGCATAAAAGAGAAATGTATAATTTTGACCCATACAATGTATTGTTGGCTATTGCTACAAATATACCCCAGCGACTTAACACTGCTTTTGTGCTGCAGGCTCACATATTAGTTCATATTCATGGTGTCCCAAAATAGCACAGTTGAGTAACCTTAGATGCTCTTAAGATTATCTTAAGAAGTACTAAAGAATAATTTTTAGTATATTAAGAACAGAAATAGAACACTTTATGGAGGTGTACCAAGTGTACTGAAATAAAGTGTATTTTACTGCACCTGGGATATTTCAGTACTGGAGTGTGTGGAGCGCTGCATTAAATCATCTGGACTCACATGTTGAGAGGCAGCTGGACTTTAGCGGCGGCGAGCAGCTCTCCGGTTGTTGACGTGACGCGCGGCGGAACTGAAGCTCCTGCGTTTTCTGTGATTGAAGAGTCCTGTGAAGACAATGGATCAGCACATGATGGAGATTCTGAGTGTGTCACTAATGGGCTCCTGCAGCTGCTGACAGGATGCATTATGGGAGTTGGAAATGCACCTTGGGACTCTACATGATCCGTCTGTTTCACTCAGACAAAACTCCAGAGATTCACCCTCACGGGTTCTAATGTTGACCTTTGACCTCCGAACACTAATGGAGCCTAATGCTCTTACTGGGACCAACCAGCTGAACCCAGGTCAGAGGTCAAGAGGCCGTATGCAGCTAAAATACCTACTACATTCAATTTGTATATATATATACACATAACTCCATAACTCTCTATTTACTCTGAAAATGTGATTTGAATCAGTCAGTCATAATAGTCAAATAGATTAAAAATGTTTCATAAAAGAAGAAAAATACAGCAAAATTTGAGTTCAAATAATCAAGGCATGTTTTCACACTTTTTTCAATAAAGAAAAGTTATTTCAATATCAATTAGATATTATTATAGCTGTTTTTAATATTTTCAATTCGTTTTTTATTTTTGTATCTTCCATTTTAATTTTAATTTTTAGTAATTTTGTTGTGTTTCTGTCGTTTTTAGTGACGTCATCATAAATTGATGGTCAACCAAGAGTTCGTTTATTTTTATTTACTGTGTATATAGTTTTTATTAATTTTTATTGTAGTTTTAGTTATTATAATTTCATTTTGACTTGACATTTACAGTGCCGCCCACTAATATTGGCACCCTTGGTAAATATGAGTAAAGGCGGCTGTGAAAATAAATCTGCATTGTTTATCTTTTTAGTATTTCATTCAAAAAATTCACAAAATTCTAACTTATCACTGAAGTAAAACAATTGAAAGTGGGGGGAAAATCTCATTGTGAAATAAATGCTTCTCTAGTTCATGTTAGCCACAATTATTGCAACGTCCTTTTCCCAGTTAATATTAAAAAAAAAAATTTAAGTAACAATTTTTTTTATGGATTTAGTTTTAGTTAACTATAATAACCATAGAAAGAATCATATTTAATCATTTTTATTGATATGCACCAATATAACAATACAATAGTCATAAACAGCAATATTGACCTACAAATATATCTACTAACGTACTACATAAATAAATAAAATGACACACAGAGACTTCAGTGATCATTTTTGAGTAATCGTGTCAATGAATCATTGAATCAGATTCATTTGATTTGACTCATTTGAAATGCACAGATTGAGCTGAATCACATAAATGAACCAAACTTGTTATTAAATCATCTGGACTCTCTCATAGTCATGAGACAAGGACAATTGATGAAACTAGTCTGATCTTCAGTAAGCTTCACGTCGGGCAACACACTTGATCATAAAGTATCTTCAGTTCTCGTACAGCGATGCTGAAACTGAACTAAATCAACAACACAGACGCGGCTCTCAGAGAATCACATTCACCATCAATCAGCCGCATTAATTTTTCTGGATTCAGTTTTTTTGTTTGCATTTTTCTTGATTTCGTTTTAATTGCTTAATTGAATTTTAGAAATCAAAAAGCATGAAACTTTTAGCATGAAACACTTTAAGCATGAAACATGAAATTTTAACAACAATTTATTAAAAGATTAACAAAAATTATATTTTAGGGCACTATGAAATTCACTTTACTTCATCCTATAATTCATTTTTTTCCCATTTTAATTGTTCTTGATTGATTGATTATTTATTTGTTTGTTTATTTTCCACAGATTGTGTTGTCTTTTTAATTTTTTCTGGATTTACATTTAATACAAATGTATTTAATAAAAATGTATTATGAAAAACATTAAAAAATCAATAACAAACATGAACAATTTAATCAATCTTTTTAATCAATCTTTCATTATTTACTCTGATCATGAGCAGAAACACACACACACACACACACACTCACACTCACACACACACACACACACACACACACACACACACAGCACTGGTTGTTACAGTTAACTAAAACTAAAACCATTAAAAATATTATTTGAAATAAAAATAAATCTTAACTGAATAAAATAAAATAATAAAATAAAATTACAAGGCACTTCTAATTTGCATTTAGTTTAACTTAATGTACTAAAATAAAATAAAAATTAATTTAATAAAAACTAAACTAATAAAAATGACAAAAACAATAATTTCTAAAACGAACTAAAATGAACATGAAAGCGGAAAATATAATAATAAAATGTAATGCAAAATATTATCAAAAACTATTATACTGTAGTTATATATACTGTAATATATATATACAGTATCTCACAGAAGTGAGTACACCCCTCACATTTTTGTAAATATTTTATTATAACTTTTCACGTGACAACACTGAAGAAATGACACTTTGCTACAATGTAAAGTAGTGAGTGTACAGCTTGTATAACAGTGTAAATTTCCTGTCCCCTCAAAATAACTCCACACACAGTCATTAATATCTAAAACGCTGGCCACAAAAGTGAGTACACCCCTAAGTGAAAATGTCCAAATTGGGCCCAATTAGCCATTTTCTCTCCCCGGTGTCATGTGACTCATTATAGTGTTACAAGGTCTCAGGTGTGAATGGGGAGCAGGTGTGTTAAATTTAGTGTTATCGCTCTCTCTCACTCATACTGGTCACTGGAAGTTCAACATGGCACCTCATGGCAAAGAACTCTCTGAGGATCTGAAAAAAATAATTGTTGCTCTACATAAAGATG